AAATGAACTGATAATTATAATTGAAGAGAAACAATGATGACACTTTTAATGACAGCGAAGATGGAGAAAAAAGTTTGTAAAATGACTTTTAACATTGTCTCTTTGCACTTTAGTTTGCACATAACAACCCTCATATGTCATGTTGTTAATGGAAAAAAACTGTTTAATATTTGGTTATTTGGTTAGATTTCTCAACATGCATGCAGGGTGTAACTGTGAAACTCCCACTGTGAATTGTTCTGTTTTTCAGGGAATAGTCATTCGCCTCATCAGCCCTTACCCTCACCTCTCTGTGCTCAGCATAGTGCTCTATTAATCATTTTTCAAGCTGACTGCTGTTCCACATGTCCACTCTCTCACTGAGTTTCTGTGTCTTGTCTCCCTTGCCTCCTCTCCACCTCCCTCCCCCATTTCCCACCGCTGGCAATATGGCCTTGGCCTTTAATAATGTTATTAAGCCTCCTCATAGCCTTGGGTCACCACCCCTGTCCTGCTGTGTTCTCACTCTTTCTTTCCATCACCCAAAGAGATGAGAACAGCAGTATGTCCTCCCAACCACAAAGCAGCAACAATACAAGGACCAGCCTGCTTTTACACCCTGTTCTGAACAAATCCATGTGAACAAAAAAGAAAAAGAATCTCTTCATGCACATAAAAGGAGCTGGAATTCAGGGTTGGTTCAGTATATGGCATTTTTCACACAGTTCACAGACAGGCCTCGGACTATTCTACTGTAAAGTTGTATATTTTATATCTGGGTTATTGGATGCATTTTGAAGATTGGGCTCTGAGAACGTGTGATGGGAACCCCTTACTATTTATTGATAGATAACATCTTGAATAATTGTTTGATTAATTAATAAAGAAAATAATGATTAGTCGCAGCCCCTGTATATTGTATAGCTCTTACAAGAGCAAAGTGACAGTATCATTGGTGATACTTTCACAAGAAAATAATCTCACCTTAAGGTAGCTGCTCTGTGGCTTTTGAGCATAGCACTTGATCTTCATCAGCAGATGTAGTTTGTCTGACTAATGTTTTTGCATCATTACCAACTTATGATTCATGGAACTTAAAGGGAAACGTTTTTTCTGTGAAATGTTTCCTTTTAAATTCTTACTTTAAGACAGCACACATTAAAATAATTTCAAATTGGTGGCAGCCAAAAAATTGTGTGTCAAACATTTGTGACACCAAATAGAAAAGGTGCCCATGTATTATACCCAAATAGTAGAGAATTTTATCCCCTCCTCTAGAGAGTACTTATATGGCGATGCAAGCAGACATGACAATCATCACTGCTGTTGCGCGATGAAGGAGCAGGTTCAAAAAGAGGCTTGATGCTTTGTCAGGGTTGGATGGTTCTGTAAGAAAAGTAGGTCAAGTACTGTATTTACTGGGATACTCAAAAAAGAACATTGCAGATTGTAAGTAGACTGAAAGAAAAACATAATTCTTTCACCTGCTATCACGGTGTCGGGATATTTGACTTTACTCTGTCTCTCTGCTACACAGTCTTAGCTTGTTCAATCTGTTTCTCTTTCTCCAGTAAAATCCAGTCTGGCAACAAGCTAGTCTTGGCCATCACCACTGAAGCCTGCCAGGGGAAGGACAACTTTGTCCGCTACCTAGAGCACGTCCAAGCAGTGGTCACTGTCAACGCCAGCCGCCGCGGCGACCTCAACATCAACATGACCTCGCCCATGGGCACAAAGTCCATCCTGCTGAGCCGAAGGCCCCGCGACGATGACTCCAAGGTGGGCTTCGACAAGTGGCCCTTCATGACCACCCACACCTGGGGTGAGGACCCCCGAGGGACCTGGGTCCTGGAGGTGGGCTTTCAAGGTGAAGAGCCACAGCGCGGAGTCCTGAAGGAGTGGACTCTCATGCTGCACGGAACACAAAGTGCCCCTTATATAGACCAGATAGTGCGTGATTATCAGTCCAAACTCGCCATGTCCAAAAAGGAGGAGCTGGAGGAGGAGCTGGATGAGGCTATAGACAGAAGTCTGAAGAGCTTAATGAGTAAAAACAACTAAACTCCCATCTGCATGTTGCCAACCCTTTCACTTTCTCTTATCTTTCTCCCTCTCTGCAATCTCGCTCTATCCTTCTCTAAATCTCACTGCATCTCCTCGGTTCTTCTCACTCTCTCGTTATCCTCCCTTTTGTCTACCTCTCTTCCCCTCTTCACTCTGCTTTTTGTTATCAAGTATTTCAATTAGCCCCCAACCTTCAATGAATGTTTCTTGTAATCCAACCATGATTAAAAGTGTAACCTTCGATAATCTGTTCTACATAGAGAAAGCAAACTATATCACCTGAATTTTTACACTCTACAGAATTGTACATAAACCAAATATAATCCACTCTTTCATGCTCTTGCTTTAACTGCCCTGCACCTCTCTTCTGCCAACTGTTATACAGTTTGTGACTGTAAATGATTTTCTGTGTCATTCTACTTAAAGTTTAATATCTTGCAAACAGAGCAGTGATACTTCTTTCTGTTTATATTTTTGTGACATGCACTGTTTATATAAACAAGGAAAGGAATGTGTAATTCATTTTGCAGCCTGTGGTCCTCAGTTCATATTTCATAATCTTTGACGTATACTATAATAAATCTATTCAGCTGTTTATTAAAGCACTTGAGTGATTTACAACATGACACTGAACATGCTGAGTAAAAGTAGCATTCTCTGTCATTTCAATGCCCCAAAACTTTTTTTAGGGAAAAACAGTGAATTTGGAGTAATAATATATTCTGAAAGGAAGAGCACAAGCAGCACCTGGCCCAGCAATCTACCTAACCGTAACATACCCGCTTTTTTCCCGTTTCTTTCATTGTGTACTGTGCTGTCCAATAAAGGGAGAATGCTCTCTAAAAAGTGGAGCCTGAGCCAAGGTACTCTTCACTTTACACATTTTTTTCTACATGTAGCATCAATAAATCACTGTCATATCAATTTTCAATAATGCACTGACTATAAATCTGCAACACATGTAGAGAACAATCGGTCTCATTGCATTTAGAGAATATCTGCTGCCATCTGGCTGGAAGAGAAGGACAGGGACAGTTACTTTATGGCAAAAATGTACTCTGTGAAACAGAGAGAAACATTTTATGAGAAATGTGCTTAATCTTTAGAAACTCTCTTGCAACATCACAGCAGAGATGACAAATGATCCCAGCCATGATCTCATTTGTTTAAAGTAGCTATAATCAATAAATATATGTAGTGACGAACAGACAAAATCGTCACCTAATTCTGCAGTTCCCCTCAGCTCTTTGCTTTAGTGTTTTTGCTTCATGACACACAACTTTACCGGTTTGGTTCACTGTCACTGCTCTCATCAGAATCATTTCAGGGGGCTGTTGTCAGCAAAAACGCTCCAAAAACCCACTACAGCTACACCAAAGGACAGACTGCTGAACGCTATTTAGGCAAATATTTTCTAGTGAGCTAGATGTAGAGCTAAAAGTAGAATAAATGTTCGGATTGCCTTTATCAGGTGGCTCCAAAGACTCCAAATGAATTCTAATATTGTGTTGCACTGCTGGATGTCTAAGTAAGCAACCATTTGCCATATCAGCTTAAAAGGTTATAATATGTCAATTAACTTGTTTAATGTAGGTTTAAGACCAGAGAACAAAAACAACATCTCTTAATGGCAAAAAGAGGGAAAGCTTAACAAAAACACAATTAGTGGAACAGACGGAAACATGGTTTATTAGACAGTAATACATTTTAGGAACTCTACAGCAATATCACTGGCAAGGGGGACTACTAATTATCGCAACCATTATCTCATTCGTCTAAATATACCAAACTATCACAAGCAACAACTTGATTGTAATACATTTATTTTTTTGGTGTAGAGTTCCATTCACTCTGTCCTGTTTTCTTTTCATTCACTACCTTCTTGCCTTTGGACTTTCAATATTAAAACGTATTTTGTTTTAAGCGGCTTATTGTAGCTTAATCAGGTCAAATGTTTCTTATCTATCTCACCAATCATCTCTGACATTGTTGCTCATGTCATCTTCTATATCTGAGATCATCTTTGTGTTTTTCTTCCTCCAATCCTTTATCTCTCTTTAACCATTCTCCTTTCTGGAGACAGGTTGGATCATACTACTGTAAATGCAAAGGACACTGTGACTTCAAGGTCACATAAATAATGCATGAGTTTTTCATGGATGCTGCAGCATTTGAAATAAGAACTCTTAACCCAGAAGGATACTGTGACAACCATCTGTAAACTGTTAAGAACACCAAACATATAGATGCTTTTTTAAAAGCCAAGGAGTAATTATTACTATTAACATTTTTGGGCCCATACATACACATGCATTAGTGGTTTTATGACCTATCAAGTAAGTGTGTGAGGTGCTTGATACACAGTGTCTGTCCAAAATCAAACTGCACAAGGTATTTTGATGATTTAATCTTTTTTATTATTCAATATATCAAAGCAAATTAATACACAGCAAAATTGTGCTGAGGGCAGGCAGAGGCATCCAATTGAACAAATGAGCTCAAAGGGGAAAGTTGGAATTCTAAGACAGAGTTCAGAAGGGTGGCACAACTTCTCAGTTTTTTATATGTTTTTCTTATGATTTTTATTGGTGGCATGGAGCTTCGTTTCTTACTTCTCCCAAGTTTTCAGACAGTAAAGGACTCATAGCATGATCATGGGCATGAAGTCGAACAACAACAGCAGTACTTATGGAACCAGCAAAACGTATTCTGGACGCAAGACCAGAGACTGCAAGCAAATGGAAGAGCATCGAATATCAGAGCAGGAATGTGTAGATGGTCTTTAAGCATAGTTGGTCTCCCTCAGAGACAAAACACTGGTCTTAATACAGTAGTTTGAGGAACAGTGGTATTTATGTGGTCTGATACTAACATCAGTATTGTCTCCTTGTTTGAGGACCTGGACCATTTAGGACCCTGGTGGAGTTTACTGACTCTTCATGTCAGGTTACGTGGTTTCAATGTTTCTTCTTGCTGGACTTCTCGATCATGGTCTCCACCACCATGGAAGTCTCTTCATAACCTTTAACCTTGTGGCCATTGGAGAACTTCTCCACAGACTCCACCACCTCCACCTTCTCATAGCTCATGGCGTCTGGGGTGTAGCTGCCAGAGCTGGTGCTGGTGCTAGTGCTGGTGCTGGTGGTAGTGCTGGAACTGGAGCTGGAGCTGGTGCTGGCACCACGAGGAGCTGGCTTCGGAGTGGGCCCGCTTGGGCCATTGTCATCCTTGTTTTTCTTGGACTGATCGGCAGCTGGAGTGGGATCTTTAGGGCCGGAGTTTGGTCCAGTGGGTGGAGGGACTGGGTATGGATCTTTAGGCTGAGGCTGAGGCTGAGGCTGAGGCTGAGGCTCTCCACTCTTTTGCTTACCTTTACCTCCATTGTCCTTACCTCTTCCGCCCTTATTATCATCCTTTCCTCCTGCATTAGCGGGCCGGGTGGGAGTGAGAGGCCTAGGACCTACCATGGGCTGAGGAGGTGGAGGGGGGGGTGTACTGCGCCCATAAGGCTCATAGGGAGACATCATTCCATTGTTGATAGTGACGTAAATGTGGCCGGCTGATGGTGTGGAGGTGCAGAAACAGGGATCTGGGTAGCTGCCGTCACCGGTGACAAGGACGTAACGACCCTTGGTGTAGAAGTCAGCGATTGGCTCAGGTTTCTTGTACTTCCTCATTCTGTCTCTGACGATGTTACAAAGAGTGTCAAAGGCTTTGCTGATCTGAGCTCCATCTGGGACATCCTGTGGAGACACTCCAGTGAGAACAGGTCTCTGCTCTTGTCTCTTCACCCTCTCCTCCTGCACTTGCTCTGATGGGATCCCCTTTGTTTCTTCATCTGGAGTCTCTCCATGGGCTCCCCCATTTCTTTCCTCCTGGCCACTGTCTATCACATCTTTCGGGGTCAGCTCTTTCTTCTTAAGGACCTTCTTGGCCAGGATCTTCTGGCGTGGCTTGATGCTGGTGATATCTTGGATGGCCTGGGTGATATCTGGACACAAATGAAGCCAAAAGTTAACTAGCTAGAATTAGTGAACTAAGAAAAGACCAAAACTGTGTGTGTGTGTGTGTGTGTGTGTGTGTGTGTGTGTGTGTGTGTGTGTGTGTGTGTGTGTGTGTGTGTGTGTGTGTGTGCACATCACAGCACCCAAATGTACTGGGATGCTCAAGAGAATAAATGTATTACTTTGAATGGTAAGGAACTTCATTAGCTTTGCAAAATTGCATCCCTAAGAGAGAGTATAGTTGTCTCTAACAATGGTAGCTGATTGCATGTGCACTCAATAGTGATTCTCAATGTAAACCAGCTGTGATATGCTCATGGTGCCCTTACCTCTCCCCTTGCTTGATGCAGTGGGTGTGTGAGTGTAGCGGTAATTAGTGGTGAACAGGGTAATGGGAGTGCCAATTATCGCTGAATTCAACCTGCAGAAGAGAGAGTTGTGAAAAATGTCACCCATGCAACAGTCATGCACCGAAGAGCTTTGCTATGCAAGAAAATCTGGTAAGAAAATCACATTTTTCATAAAAGGAGACATGAGGTAACTATGAATAACACACATGTAGCTGATCTGACCTTAAAACAAACCCACTTTGATTATTGTTGTGCCAGTGCAGTGGAGGAAAACATTTGCTTTCACACAGTGCCATCTGCTGGCTGATTCTGCACCCTATATTAACCTGGTTACAGCCGTATGTACCTTATGTGCCATTTCAAGCAGACCTAACCTCTGTAATGTGGGGGCTTTAATGACCTGAGAAGTTTTACTCTACAGTTACACTCAAGAGCTTTAAATATTTAAACAAAAATAAAGCGGTGCATATCAAGAGGACAATCCTCTTGGATGTGTGGAGACAGCCATGAAAGAGCATTTTGATCTTCATGTAGGGAGATAAAAAAATTGATGGAAACTATCATTGGCCATAAAAACAGTTTAAGTAAAATGTAAAAAAAAAAACTACTCTTTCAACTCTTTTTAACTCATTTTTTGGTGGCCAGTGAAACAAGCGAGTCTCTGTGTGTGTCAGCAGCCATCTGGAGGCAGTCTACCTGTTATCTTCGTTCTCGATGATCCTCTTGTACCTCTCCAGCTCATTCTCAAGAGACGTCTGGTACATGGCCAGGTGGCGACATTCACTGGTGAACTTTTCCAGGGACCTCTCAGCTTCCTCAATCTCCTTTCGCAGAGATTCGATTTGCTCATTGTACATCTGGATCTCATCGTCATAACTCTCCTGTGTGTTTTTGATGGCTTGATCCAACATAGTAGTCTGAAAGTGGAGACAGGGGCAGGGATTAATTATGAAATTATGACTGTCCCTGGAGGAAATTTGTCATTCATGTCATTAGTAACTAACGGAGTTAGTATGTGTTGCTTATGAAAGTAAAGTAAAGGTCATATTAAAATGATGAAAACAGTGTTTGCAGAAAACACTCAATTGAAGCGTTCCTGTGTTTCTCATTTCCTTTGAGGAAACACCACACTGTCACATAACATGGTCATGGCTGACATCTAGTGGTATTTCTTCAGCATCTATCTATTAGCACAACTTTATTGAGGCTGAAGTGTGAAGGCCGATTTAATGCCTTGCTTAGTGAATTTTTATATTCCTTAATTCATACATAAGAAGTGAAATGAGAAAAGTAAAATGAAAATGCCCTTTTAAAAATCATTTTAAAATCATTGAACAGATTCAGTACTTAGTGCTTACTTGTGCCTCACATGAGAGTCGCTTTGGATAAAAGCCTCTGCCAAGTGATTACATGTAATGCAAATCAAATGATTACTGATTTTTGACCAAATAACGAGTAAACACTTGTTTTATCTTATTTTATTTTTTATAACTGTAATCTTTTCTCTTTTTTAATTATTTGTTTATTTTTGTGTGTGTTTTCATCTTTCTATCACATATCCCTAGTAGTTATCCCCTGACCAGGTTTTGGAAAATAAGACACACCACAGACAATGGGTATTCCTCAAATTTTAGAGCTGAACTGATGGATTGATAGGAAATTAAATATCTTTGGGTTTTCGACTGCTAGTCTGACAAAACAAGCAATTTGAAGACATCCCTTTGGATTGTGAATGGATTGTCCCTATTCCCTTTTTTTTTTTACATTTTATAGACAAAATGATTTATCAATGAATTTTGAAAATAACCTGCATATTAATCATTAATGAAAACAATGGTTAGCCTCACAAAATTCACAACTGTTCTACTTTTTTGAGTTATGAGTGTTTCATGTGTCGTTCTGTAAATATTGGCCTGGCAGGAGAAAAAAAGGGTGGGAACTGCACTGCATACAATCAGCGTGAAACCTCTTGTTGTCATGGTGACCGTGTGACCCACCTCAGTTTGTAGGCGCAGTTTCTGGGCCTGCAGCTGACAGAGGGCGCTCTTGTATTCCTCCAGCTGACTCTGCAGCCCTGGCACTTTCCTCTGAGCCAGCAGCTTCTCCTGCTCCTTCACACATTGAGCACAAATCAATGAGAACATGCAGAAAAGTGCGGCGTGTCTTTAAAGCATGAAGGTTACACCACACAAACACACACACAAAGCTGGCAATCAAGTCTCTTTCTGACGTCTCACTGTATAAAAAGCCTCACTGATTTTAAGTGCATTAGAACAACTGCGTTCCTCACAGCAATGATGTTTTCTGCTGGTCTTCTCTTTAAAATGAGTGTTTTGAGTGCAGTGTCCACTACACATAAACTGAATCAATGATAGTGAAAAAAAGGGGCCTGGATGTGGCTGTCACTTCACTTGGTACACTTGGTGGATGTTAACTAATGTAAGCAGTGATGGTTCAAAACAAATCATTCAGTTCAAAGAGTTTAAAATGTTCAAACACTTATTAGCAGCAGAGGACATTATTGGATATTTATCTCTAATAACTCAAGAAGTAGAAGAGAGTTTTATTTAATAGTTATGGTTTGAATGGATCTCATTCAAATTGGCTCAAGTTTCATGTTTGTTTCAGTAATTTGTTGTCAAATGTTGCAAGCATTCCTGTAAGTAATTGTATGTTCAGTCAATGCTATTGCAGATAGTAGGCTGGCTACCTCATTAGCCTGCAGCAAATTTAGCTAATTAACTAAACTAGTGAGCCAACAATGACATGTTACTGTAACAGAAAATAAAGCTGGATTTTGTCAGCAAGTTTTTTAACAAAATAATTTTAAAGGGTGTGAAATAGAACATTTATAAGTATGTAATGTTCTTCTATATAAAATAATGGTACATTTTATGTTTTTTAACTTATTCATTAGCATAGCATGCAGGATGTTGGAGGGTCAGTCCACCGCTACATAAGTTAGCTATATGGCTAGAATGTATCCTACATTTCTGATACATTTTCTGGAGCTAGCTTGTCCCACAAAGCCACAAAGTACTACAGCTGTGTAAAATCATGGCCAAATGTAAACTTTTTGGCCCAGTGATGGATGAAGATGAAAGATTTGATTAAGGATATTTTTGAAATGTTAGCTACAGTATTTTAATGCTTTGTATTTATGGTCATTTATATTTATCTTTGTAAATTTCTACTACTTGTAGTATTAGTAGATGTAAACTTTGTACTTATGTTTATGACATGAATGATGTAGATGTACAGATAAGTGACAAATTAAAGAAAAAAAGTAGTTTATTAAGGTGATTGCTACCACGAGCTGTACAATATATTCTGCAGGTCCAAATAAATAAATAAAACCCTCAATTGGTATTTAAATGATGATGATTTTAGCGAGTGGGGTTCAAATGTGTTGGATTGTAAAGGTCATAGCATATTGTATGACACATATGTTTCTAACTCTGCATTAATTCTGGTTTTTCTTTTAATTTGTCACTCAGCTGTTTAACTGACCCCTGGAGACTAGCAACATCACCAAAGTCCATAACATTAACTCCCCCCTTGCTTACCTTTTGTTTTTTCACTTGATTTTAGTTCAGCACTGTAGCATGAGCTGTGGCTATTTAATGCAATTCATACAATTAAATTATTTTTGCATCTGGAGCAGCTATGCTTCTGAGAAATGTTTGAACAAATAAAACCATAATTTGCTACACAAATGCCGATCACTGTGGCTGCAGTTCCTCAAAAATTAGCATGCACAGCCGTTCTTCCTGGCATTTGCTACATTGTGTCCTGACACTCTCAAAATGCTGGCCTGTCCACGTGTCCCAAGGACTGTTTGACTGTCTGTCTCTGCTTTTCACACGTGCACACACACACGTATACAACAGCACAGGCGTGCAGACACAGGCAACCAACTGGACTAAGAAGCCAGTAACCTCATCAAGCCTAGACACGTAGCCAGGGCTGACACACATGCAAACACCATCTTCGTCCCTGGAGGCGGCAGTACACACACACACACACACACAAACACATACACACACACAAACACAGTGACCTCACCTCGGAGATGCCCACTGACACATTGGGAACAAGGGGAAGTGTCTGGTTGATTTGCTGCAAAATGTTTACATAGGTCTGGATCTCTGCGAGGTTCTGGGTGGGGGGAGATCACATAAAAGAAAACATAAGATACACAATTCAGCAAAAAGAAGAACATTGTAGAACTATTACATTTTGCAAACTTAAACCATTTTATCTGATTTGCTCCCAAATTCTTTCTTATTTACAATGCACTTGTTACTGAGACTCAAAGGCTATCATTTATCTGAAATATATTTATAAATTATGCTAACATTCCTTTACAGCAAAGCTAGTTCTGTAATCCATATGTACAAACATGATCTCAGTCATAAAAAGTAGATATACTCTCCACAGGGATATTCAAAAGCTCAGGAGCACAAGCCCAATATTCATGTAAGACAACTCCCTATTCTTTCCCATACAATATAGTATCACCAGTGCCCTTTGATATGCTAGCTGAATATTGCAGAGGCACGGATTAATTCTTCATAACAAGCAACATTGACTGGAACTAACAAAGAGGGAAATTGCTCATGCACGAAAGTTGATGAAAAGTATGCCAGATGCATTTTGTAACACTCACACACAGTTTTCTTTTGTCTAAGCATTTTTTGCAGCCACTGTGTTGCAGCTTCGAGCTATTTCTCTTACACAGAGGGTAATATTTCAGTTCTTTTGTCTTTTCTCTGTCATATGTCAGAGCCCGTCAAAAGCATTTTTACAATTTCCCTGCAATCATTTCCTCACTCACATCACAGGAGGTAAATTGCTGCTAAAACCCCAGGTACATCACAACAAATCCTTTGGCAACCATGTCAAGGTTTTTGTTCCTTGACATTTGAAGAGTAGCAGCCTGAGGTCAGCAGTGTTCAAAAGCAACACATACTGTTGTGTAAAATATTTTGAACTGATCTTCTTTGATGTAAATTCAGTTTCTTGATAGATTTAAATCCATGCAAAATATACTGTCTGCAAAGATCAAAGATAATGTCAAGAGGAACATATATGGGCTCAATTTCAAGATGTTGCAGCCCTTTACAGAGCAATATGACAGAGATATCAACTGCTTTGACAGGATAATATTACAGCCATTTCTCAGTGAGTGGCTTTTATTAGCCCAGTTTCTAAAAGCCATCGATAAGGAACACCATAATGTGAGCATCCATACAGTTGCACACTGTCCCTTCTGTACGTATCTATCTCCAGCATCAGTACTGTACTGTCTGACAAGAAAAGATCTGTGTAGTGGCTTCAATCATGAGACAGGATGTGTTTGCTTTACTAGAGTTTAACCAAAACCTGAATCAAAGTGCTTTTTACTGCCTAATGACATCAAGTTGCCGGTTGCCACTGAATAAAACCCTGGAAGCGTGTTTCCCTCAAAATGCATTTGCCAAAACAAATCAGTGGTGTTTACACATAATTTCTAGGACAAAGGATTTCTATGTGTGTATATAAAAACACATATGTTGAGCAATGAAAATTTATATGGCGTTATAAAAAAAAACAAAAAACAATAAGCAAAACACAAGTGCAATAAAAATAGATCAAATCCTGTGAGCTCCATTGAGCTGGAATTTAAACTAATGTGGTAGTTAAAGAGCTCCACATCCTGATGTCCTGATAGACCTCCAGCCATCTGTTTACAGGAGATTCTACTACTGTAAAAGACATTTTGAGAATGTAGGTGGCTTATAGGTAGGCAGGAAGAAATGATTAGTTTTGTCTAAAAGTTCTTTTCAACATGGCAATGGTGAGATGGTTTCCTATCTAAAATATCGAATGAGTCATTTTTATGTCCTCTGAAGAAGCTAGTTATTGGATACCATGGAGTTGCACAATCTGTTATTATTTTTTATTTATTATTATTATTTTTTTGATCATTTACCACTGACCTTCTTGTGTCTATCTCTGGTGGAGTTGATGTCGTCCTGCAAGAACTGTGATTGGATCTGGAACTCCAGGTTTCTCAGAAGAGCACTGTCAGCTTCCTGTGAGAGGAGAGAAGAGAAGAGAAGAGAAGAGAAGAGAAGAGAAGAGAAGAGAAGAGAAGAGAAGAGAAGAGAAGAGAAGAGAAGAGAAGAGAAGAGAAGAGAAGAGAAGAGAAGAGAAGAGAAGAGAAGAGAAGAGAAGAGAAGAGAAGAGAAGAGAAGAGAAGAGAAGAGAAGAGAAGAGAAGAGAAGAGAAAAGAAAAGAGGAGAGGAGAAGAGAAGAACAATAGAGGACTCAAGGGAAACAAACGGTAATGAAAGGTACAGAGTGAAGTGTATTGAGTTCAACATTTAAAAAAAGAACAGTGTAGTGATCCACTGCACTCTTTCAATAAAAAGTCTTACAAATCAAACCCGGTCTGGAACTGTCGATCTAAAATGAGTTAAGCTCTGTTTTTACACACTTACACACTTTCACACACTGAAAATGAAATCCCTTTTCTTTGTGCAAAGTTACTGTACGTCTTCAATCAATGATGTTTAAATGTTGAAGAATTCTGATGTATTAATGCATTAAAATGTTGTTATTTATTTACATTTGTATGATTGCATAAACAAACTTAATTTCACCCATACAGTACCTTGTTTAACTGTTCCAGCGTGCCCCGGAGCTGTTCTTGATAGTCACATTCATTTCTATATCTGCAACATAAAACATTATAATTACTCGACTGGCAGAGGTCGCCTAACAATAAAATGTAACGATGCGTCGAAATAAGCGTCATAATATGCTTTGTTATTTGAGTCTAATTGCATGTTTGTGTTGTGTGCTTACAGTGAGACCGCACAGATTAACAAGCTCATTTCCTTCTTGAAGCACAATACTGTTTTTAATATGTCAGAGCCATAAATCTAAACTGCACATGGTGATTTTCTGTTCTCTTCACCAGCCGATTCAAACAGTTGGCCGATATTCTTCTCAGCTCGTCAATAATGTAGTGAGGATTTTCTGCCTACAGACAGCTGACTACACCATGTTTGTAGATAGTTCTAATTAAAGGGTTGGTTACAAAAACATTTTCAGGCTTTCTCTAATGGTATGTAGCAATGCAGATAGTTTTATTGTCCAAGTGTTGAGGGCTTCTCTTATTCGTGCCACCACAATAAATACATTGGTGGTGAATGGAATTTTGTTTGTGGTGCTTACGGCGTTGAAAAATGTTTACTCTGGACAATTCACAAACCGTGAACCGTTTTCACTGGAACAAATAGTCCCTATGACAAAACAATATCAATATATTCTATTGATTATACAGATGTTTCTGGAAAGAGTTAGTACATTTGAATTTGTTTTCTATCAACTGCTGATTGACCTTACGAGAGCACTGCAAACAAAAGTCCGTACACTTCCATCGTGTTTAGGAGGCAGAAATCTCAAGGATGGATTTTTTTTTTTAAATGGTGTACATGAAAATAAGTAACAAGTGAGAAAATATGCTTTTGTTTTTGTAATTTGGGTGCCATTATTTCAGTTCAATATCTAACCTCTTGTTTTATGAATTCTTCAAACAGAATAGAAAATAGTATTCAGAATAAATGAATCTTTCATGATCTATTTATGATTACCTAACCGATATAACTATGAGTATAATAATTTTGAAATTTGGATGCATTCAGACATTGATTTTATATTCATGTATAATTTCCTAAACTCCTGGAGAAGAATTAGTTATCTTCTTTTTACAACCCACATGTATGTTTCTTTATCACCTTCTCTTAATTCTGAGCACATTTTTATATATATTTCTAATCACTCCATCTCTGAGGAAAAAGTTTGACCTTTGACACACAGGTAAGACCAACCACTGCCCACTCTCTTACTTGCTGGTGAATTCATCCAGCATGCGGCAAGCATCCTTCAGCTCTCGGTCCAGTTTGGCACGGTCCGAGGACAGCTCGTGGATGCGTTGCCTGTTGACATCGATCTGCTCTGTGAAGGCCTCCTCCAGACCGCTGGCCTCTTCCATCCGCTGCAACGTCTCCAGCTGCTTGCGGAACACGGCGTTGCGCTGCTCCAGGACTCGAGCCCTGTTGATGTACCGGGCAAAGCGGCTGTTGAGCTCCTGAAGACTCTCCCAACCCTGGATGGCTGAGATGCCTGCAGAGGTTTCAGAGTCCTCGGGTTCCTCTTCAAAGACATCTGAGCGCTCATACTTTTCCTTGCGCACCTCGCGCAGGTAGCTGGTCTTGAACATGGTGGTACGCTTCTCTCCCCTGGGCTGATGGTATCCCTGGAGTGCTTGGTCCCCTTCGGCACCTTTATTGTGTGAAAACTCGGGTGCTCACCCTTGGCTGTCTCATGCTAGACTAAACGCTGCACAGCACTGGCTGGCGGCGAAATAGCCCCCAAAACCTCCCCCCGGCCGTGGCCGCGCATGATGTGAGCCTGGGGCCTTCCAGAGGGTATTGTTGCCTTTGTGACAGAGATTAGAAAAGCCATGCTGTTGATGACAAAGCAGAAGCACAAATACAAACAACTGACTGGCCCGCGAAAGCACTGGGTTGTCACACACCATTATTTTGGTTCTTAGTCAGCTGCTTTCTAGATCCCTGTTTGATATGGTACATTGGATGGTGGCCCACCACAGGACAGAGGGGAAATTTCGTGCAGTGCAATTTGTGTGGACTGTGGAAAACTATTCCTTTCTAAAGTGGCTAAGTGTTGACACACTGTGCACTGTGCTTAAAAAAACTGTTGTTTTTTTTTGTTTGCAGTTAGGTGGTATTTGTGTTTTGGTTAATAATCTCAAAAGCATTACACAAAACACCCTGCATTACACAAAAATGTTCACATTTGGTGATTAGCAAACAGGCCCAATTACAAAGATACATGGTTATACAATAAAGTGACTGTTTTATTGTGGTATTAGTTCTGTCTATAAACATAATGAAAAATAACACTACTGATCTAAATATCTGATAAAAGTTCAAATCTTTGTTTCTGCACATTATGTTGTTTGTTTTAACTGAAACAATCAAACAGCAGAGTCCATATTCAAATGCAAAGTATGTGTTTTGCTAGGAAGCTGAAATATTTCTGCACTTTATTTTTTTGATAACAAGAAAGAGAGCTTCTAGTTGTTTTCATCAAGGTGTTTTAGCCAACATCTCTATATTTCCCTTTTCATATTTACATTCTTTCTCTCCCACTTACTGTAACATTTAGCAAAGATGAGCGAGAGACAGAATGATTCAAGAGTGACGAGGAGGCAGAGGACCCTCTGCTCTGGCTTGCTCTCTGCAGGCTGTGGTACAAGGTCAGTCAAAACGTCCCTCTGGACAGATCCAGCAAGCTGTCTCTGAAACGGCTGAATGAAACACATGTCAAATGGCTTTACATCAGCATTTCAGCATATTTTGGCCCCAGCAAAGCCCGTGGCTCGATGGCAGACTGTGGTATTTAAGCTGCAGTATGAAAATTTAACTAATTAACAACTTGGTGGAGTTAAATAATGCTCTATAGAAAATTTCTTTCTTTCTCATTCACAGTCGTGAATTAAATATAACCATGTATCCATCTTTAAAAGTGCAATAAACAGGTAGGAAGTAGTAGTACTAGTAGTAAATGTTGGGTTTAGAAGACAAAATCATTCCCTTACCCATTAGAAATGACATTCACAGTATTTTTCTATTGTTAAGCATTAAGCACTTGCCATTTCCCACAGCACCAAAAGCAAGTATGTTCCTTCCAACTAATAAGCAGTCTCTCCAAGGACTCCTTGCCTGTCAATCTCCAGGAGTATGCTGGGATTGGTATCTGTTCACTAACACACTAGATGCATACATTATAAATTATAAGTCTGTCCTTACTTATGGTGGAATGGCTCCTAAAGAGTATCCAAGTGACATTTCCACAACATGTACTGATTAGAAACAAATGAGCACACAGAGACATTGCTCATTTATAGACCGTAAGAGCTCCAGTGTCATGTTACTGGAGTGGAAAGAATTGCATACTGCATGACATAAACTGATAAGATGCACATCATTCTTTCAAACAAATGTCACTTAGATTTCATTGTGAAATCAGATTCCAACCACTTTCCACACTCTGGAGGACATGTAGAAAAATGTTGGAGAGAATGTTCAAGAAAGCTGATGTGAATTTAGAAGTTATTCACAAGGTATATTTTTTCTGTAACTGAGACTGTGTTGAGGACTCCCACATGCAGGTTAATACACTCCTGAGTCCCACAGAAGCAAGTAAGCCCAGCTGGACATCCAGTAATTTGCTGTCACACAACTGCACTCACAAACAGAGACAGAAAGAAAAAAGTTAATGAAAAAGAAACACAGAGGACACCGGTTTGAATGGATCACGATGATTATGTGGTCGAGCACTGGCAGTGCTTGGACTCACAAAGTCTGCGTCCCCAGCAGAACCAACATTTAGCTGAAACAGACTCCCTCGCTTCAGATTTAAACCCCACATATACATTTGTATGGATTCTGTTTCACTGCTGCTTATTCCACCGTAACGTTGTCATCAATAAACTACCTCAGTATCTGCCCAGTATATGTTAACAGACACCATAAATTTTATGTCTTGTGCATATTCTTCATGGTTGAAGAGAGAATGCCAGGATCACACTGCCTCCTTTTCCATCTATATTCATTGGTTACGAGTGGCAGTAAATCCGAGGACTGGGTGAGATTAGAGAGCTGTCCAGAGTTGGAAATGAAAGCCTAGTGTTTATCTGATGCTCAGGCCTCCTGGGCTACAGTGACAGACACTAGCAAAGCTGAGCAAGTAGCCGCTGATATTTAAAGGGTAATAAAAACTAACAGGAACATACAAAGACAGTTCTCTCATCTCTTGTGAGCTAAGGGAACACATGAGTTCAAGATCTGGAAAAGAAAACAAGTTTTTTTCTCTCCACCTCATGTCCTTCACAGATGACAGAAGTTGACTGCTGGTTCACTTGTGTCTCTTGTTATCTGTTATTATATTTAAACTCTGCTGACGATCTCAGCCAGCCTGCTGAACTCAATATGAGAGGACACAAAAAGCCATATCACTGCTATTGACAGATGATTGTGAGAGGTGATATAAAAACCAGCAGTGCTAGCTCTCCATCACAATAAGAAATTGATCCTAAAAAGTCATCAGTCCTGCTGTCTGTGCCTGTTTATCTGCTGTTCAGGATGGTTGGCCACGGAGATATGGTAGTGACACCCCCCACCACTGCCACCACCATCAAAAAAAGGAAAAAAGATAAGTTTCAAGCCACAGTCTTCCTGATTAGTCTTATAGATGCAGTTTATCATGAATCCCATTAACGTAATCAGAGGCCCATTAAAATGGTAAGAATTTCTAGATATATCATTCAGTAGAAAATAAGACATGGTTTCTTGTCAATAATGAGCACACATATTCCTAAACATCTCTGATGGATTTCTTTCCCCAAAGCCACCATGCAATCAGGGTCAGTAATGGCCTCGGTGAATATAGAGCCTGCAACCAACGATCACAAATAAATACTTACATGACATCCTGTTCTCAGCTGGTTGAGATTGAGATTCCCCATCATCTTGGATGTTTTCCTATTTTACCCAAGTCCTGTTAAGATTGCAAGCTAGACACATAGTACTATGAATTCAAAGACACACAAAATTGATTATTTCTCCATTTTTACTCTACATTGAAATTTCCACTGTCACAGTGACGACCCATTGAATATGGTGCAATGTGACATGAATTCCAACACCATTCATTTTCTTGGGTACACAGACAAATCACTTTGCAAGTAATTACATACAGGCCACGCTTGACTAACTAGAGATGCAAAAAAAAAAAAAAACTTTATTCAAAATTCACCTGGCAGCAGTACTATTTTCCCAGAGAACTGACAAAAATAAAGGAAAGCAATTTAGTTTTTACCTGCTCAGGAAACATGTGTGAGAGGAAAGATCATTATTGTACTCTCTGGCTTCCCTCTTTCCTACATCCCTGGCTTCCAGGATTACAGATACAAGCAAAACAAAATGTCACTCAAATTGTTGGTAAAAGTACAGGTTGCTTATTTACACAGTGGTGGCTAATGAGCAAGCTACTTGCTAACCTGCAAGCACAAACATTCCAGCAACACAGAGATGAGTGAGAGGTGTCGGAGGCAGTTTCTTCGCTCCCAGTGGGTTTCACAGTGATAATGAAATGCCAACAGATGTGTGTCTTGGGGGTCAACGCATTTGGGGTCAAATTTCAGTTTGGTTGAACCTTGGGTGGCAACGTTTTGAAAACCAGAGCAGTGCTACCTGGGACAGCGCAGCCAGCCTTGCTCTGCGTGATGTTGCACTGCTATGCATGAAAGCAACAGATATATCTTTCAGGAGCTGGTGGAGACAAAAAACAGAGCTAATAGGGGAGAGAGTACTGTTCTTACATTCGCCAGGGGGATATATTCTATGCTAATATTGCTGTATGTGTAGACAATTGTTGCTGACAAATTCACTATAAACTTACAAGGCAAGTTGTGTATATAGCTTTGTTTCAGCTGCTCACAGGTGGCCAAGAAAAGTTAGTGCATGTTTAATATCAAAGTAATTCATCCCATTTGTAGAGACCATGATATATATATCATATAATATAATAATATTGAAACAGTTTCACCAGCTTATCCTTATGAATAATGAAACAGCGCGACTCCCTTTCTGATGGTTTAAAGAGGATCAGTGAGATTCAGTCAACAGTTTGCTAGCTATGACATAAAGCGCAGTGCACTGCATGTGAATGTCCTGTTATTTAAATGTTTGCCTCCTTCATCCCTCTTCAATCTTGTGACAAATAGAAATAGAGGAAGAAATATTACCATAGCCTTAAACATAAAGAACATCTTGTGCACAGTATGTAAGCTATTTATGGACAACCATCTAGCTTGAGAACTTTCAACCATTTAAAACCTTGCGACCACCCACATGTGCACGCGCACACGCGCCCACCATCCTCTTCCACACCACCTGCAAGACGCGACGTGGGGTTTCTTCTTCTTCTTCTTCAACGCTGGCCATCGTCGGCTTTGTCACTTGAGGCAGAGGAGAAAGAGAAGCAACTTTTTAAAAAATTTCCTTTCGAGGAAGCGGTCCGGATGAGAGCGAAGCGGAGCGGCAGCACATACGGTGAGGCTGATGTACCTTCTGTCTACACTGGTGGGATTGTCCAATAATAAAGGACTTCGACTCGGTTCCACAGAGAGGGCAATTAAATTAGTTTTTTTTTATTATTGCTATTATCAGCTCAGAAAAGTCGCGGAACCTACATTTGCTGGTAAGTACCTAAAATGATTTGTTTCAGCTTGCTGGGTTTTTAATCAATGTCTTACATAAAGAAAGAGAAAGCGTTTCTCTATCACCCAAAAGTCTACCTTTGAGTCTGTTTTTACTCTGAATCTAAATTCACAGACTGTGATCCCCCCGCAACCCCCCCTGCAGACTGAGATGATCTATAAGAGCTTAATACTCAAGGACCTGAGACCTCTTGCAGCTTATAGAGCCAATTAAAGTACATTTTTTGTTCTGCAGATTTTTTTTCTTTTGCATGGCATGGCATTATATATAGATCTCCTTAAGCAATAACTTCTGTCTTTTTTTTTTTTTTTTTACCTAGAATTACATCAGTGGGGATCACATAAGTCATGATTGTGAAAGCTAGGTGGAGATCATATCTGCCTCTCTTGGTTTTGGATCTCTCTTTCTTAGTGGTAGTGTGCTGTGTTTTTGTTTAGCAGCCTGATTAATTGCCTTGCGCAGCTGTATCAATACAAATCTGTTTTTATCTGTTCAAATGTGCTTGTGTTTCTTTTAAGTGGCTTTATTTTTTAGTCTGGGTTCGCTCACATGTATGCTGGGGGATTTAATTCACCAGTTTTGCAGCAAATTAAAAATGCCCTGTCATCACCCTGAGACTAGTCTGCGACGCTGACTTGCTGTAAAGTGACATGGTCCTAATAAATTACATGAAGGCCTAGATATAATGACCTCACCCACGAACATTTTTCATCAAAAAAGATCATAGAAATGTCACACATGCCAGCATGGTTACGCCTGAAGCACTGAGATCATGTAATTTGTTCTGACTATATCTTGTTGCCATGAATCCTGACCCAGCATGAGTAATGCTGAGATGGGAACTTTCTGTTCCAGGTGAGATGTGCTTCTGTGTCTGACTCAGCCTGTTCAGATTTTCATCATTACAGAAACAACTTAATTGAGGATATACCGAAAAGCATGACTCTTTCGCACCTAATTTATTGGATCAAATTGCTTCTCTAAGTTACCAAAATAAGAGTGTGTGCTAAGACATGGGGGACACCAACATCAGCCACATGGCTGCAGCTTATACAGAGATGCAGGAGAGTCTCCCGGCAGGAAAGTTGGATCATTACATGGACAACTATGATATGGACTATGGCATCCCTCCTGATGAAATCCCAGACACCACGCAAGGCCAGGCCTTCTTTGTGGCCACCATCGTTATCGGCGTGGTCCTTGTCTGTATCATGCTTGTCTGTGGTTTGGGAAACTTCATATTCATTGCCACACTGACACGCTACAAAAAGCTCCGCAACCTCACCAACCTGCTTATTGCTAACCTGGCTATCTCAGACTTCATTGTGGCAGTGGTGTGCTGCCCGTTCCTCGTGGACTACTATGTGGTTAAACAGCTTTCCTGGAATCATGGACTGGTGCTGTGCGCCTCTGTCAACTATCTCCGGACTGTGTCACTCTACGTGTCCACAAACGCACTGCTTGCCATTGCAGTTGACAGGTGAGTCTGTTAGGGATTTCATTTTTTTCTGAATCTTTGAGTGTGTCCCTGTGAGCACAAACATTCGTTCAATTCAAAAAGCCACTGCTTCTTACAAATAAAAAAAAATCCTCCAGCAGTGTCTACAAAAATTTGACTGAAGAAAGTATCCATGTTTTTAAATGTCTGTATTCTCCCTCACAAATACTCTATAACCACATTGCTCTACAGCTGTAATTTAAAATTACATGTCAACAAAAACTGACACTTTGTGTTTCTACAATCCTTTCTTTATTGCACACCAGGTCTTTGGTCGACTTTGTCAATATAGAATTCCAGTCTTTTATCATCCTGCTGTATCCAGAGATTTAGAGTTATTGAGACACTGATGCAATGCTTTTTTCATTATTTTTATTGGCAGATTCAGTAAACAAATTTGTAGATTGAAACTAACGCTAACCCCAGGTACTACAAAGTACCACCAAGCTCCTGCAGGCCTAATCACGGTGGTTCTTTACTCTGTACCGGTTCACTGCTACTTGTTATATTCAAGAGAGTAGTTACTTTTATCAATGTTGCAGTCCTTTTCTTGGCATCAACTGGCACCGTGCATGCAACTGAGATTTGGGGTCTCAGATTTGTCTTGATGCATAACTTATCAAAATAAAAGATTTGTGTTCCCGCACACTATCGCCAGTACTTCAAAGATTGTGTAAAAACATGATTTATTTTTGATTGTTAATTATGTAAAAAAGCTCAACAAAAAACAGTCCCCCTGCTACTGTGTTCATGCATGCAACAGGCAGAATATCGTCTCATGATGAGTCTATCTCTAGATTCTCCTGTATCTGTACCAGCTGCATCTTTTTAGCCCTTGGTCCTCTGGCACAAACTTCAGATAGATTGAGCAGGAATGCATGTAGCCTACATGCAGAAACCACTGCAATGCAATATTCAATTAGACTGGGGTGGAGTCAACACTCAGCATCAAAGTCCATGTGACTAAATGTCAAAATCAATAAGAAAACATGTGAGCACATCTGGCCCCTCCGTCAGAGACTCACCAGAAGTACGCCTACTTTGATTTAAGTGAACTCAGTATTTGGTAAAGGTTCAGGAATGATCGCCCTCAAGGTTAAAGGAAATCAACATTAACTGGTGGCAAGAGCCGGGATGGCAACCCATCTTCAGTGTCTTGTTAAACACTTAAGTGAACATATCAGAATGTTTTTAGCGAATGTATCTGCTAAATGTTAACATCATGCTGCAAGTCAAAACTTTAGGGAGAGGGGATACCAAGCTTACAGAGTACTGTGTTTAATTAACATGTAGGAAAAGAACAAAAAACTGAACTGATCATTCACTAAAACAACAGGCAAAAATAGTTTCTTTGTTGTGCAAAAGTGCTGAAGGTGAGACAAAACGTGAGGTAACATCCAACCGCAGACATTTCAGTCCTTCAGACTTGCGTCAGTGCTGACATACAGGGCACAGGGGCCAGCAGTGACCATGTTCAGTTAATTAGAGGACGGAAGCTACAGCGCAGATACACACATAGGCTCAATAGGCTCAATAGGACATTTTGACATGTCACAGGAGGAAAAGAACAGGTGTAAATAAGATTAATGATGGCTGGGTTTCATTTTCTTTGGTTTCAGGGTTCTAGTATTGTGCATGTTTCACTGCGTGTTTCACACTGTCATGGCTCACTCGGTCACTTGAGAAGAACAGAGCCATAGTTAATATTATTAGTCACATACGTGCTTTTCCTGCAATGGCAGGTCAAAATGTCTCCTGTGAAAAGGGCCTGCATTCACAAATACTGAAGAGGCCACTAGGAGCAACACAAACAAAGCTTGATAAACAATAAAAAAGGCCATGACTCTGTTAAAATGCTTTCGAGAGCAGTACAGATCACAGTAATTCGGTCTATAACATTTCCTCTCTTTGTGCCTGAATGCGCACAACACCCACAGATTCACAAAGAAGTATGGTTCACATTATAGATGCCTTGTCAGGAGTGTTGTTTGATTTGTGCCCCAAACATAACATTGAGGCTGGATAATGTGTTCAGTGTGCCAATGTAATTATTTTAAATTATTGTTCCGTCAATAATCTTCCAGAAATTGTGTGAGCTTTTTAGTGTTGACAAAAAGCAACAGCTTACTGTCTGCAGCTTATTGTTATAGAGAATCCACCCAGTGCCAAACTACTGGGTAATCATTTACTACTTTGTGGATGGTGCGCAGTATATTTAAATGTTAAATATTCAAGGGATGTGTGCACAATAAAGCTGTGGAATGGAATTGAATAGGACAACAACATCAGAAAATAAGTATCAAAAGACTATTTTTGTCTGAAAATATTTTTCGGTCATTTGATCAAGACAGAAAAGAATGAGAATAATTACAGAATAATTAATTTTAACTATTAACTAACACATTTAAAAAGCATTTAATCAAATTAGACACCAAACAGAGATTGGACCATCTGTAATCTAAAATTTAATTTGAAAACTTAAAAGTGTATTAATCAGTTTTTTGCCTCCTCAGCACAGAAAACCATTGGCTGTGAGAATTTAAAATTGTTTTTTTCATTTCAGTTTATGTGTATCTTAAACAAACCAGATACATCATGTAAACAAGGCAGTTTTACAGTCAGTGGTAGGTATATTGTTTAACTATGTCAGAGCCAGGCTAGATACTGTAGGTGTTTCTCCCATTCCCACTCTTTACAAATCCAAACTTAATCTCTATACCTCATGCAGAAAAATTCGATTCATATTAATCTTTGCATCTCACCTGTAAAAATGAACCACTTCTTTAAGTTGCTTTTCCCACACTGAATGACAGTATGACATTTGCATGTAAAATCTAGATGTCAGCATAATGTATGTAAAAAAACTTGTGATTTATATATACATTCTAACTTTTTCGTTCAAGTGAATGGAAAGGTGTGTCCAAACATTTCACTTGTACTGTATATTTGTCAAGTGTATCCACATTGAAGATGATGAGCTATTGATATTAAAGAAGGCAGTTTTTTTCGTTCTAAACATATTGTAAATGAAAATATGAAACTTAATATAGGAACATATGAAAAACATGAATAACCTACATTTTTTATGTAGGTTCACGCATTTATGTGACCTGCGAATCAATTCAATGGCCATTATTTCAGTGCCACCTTCTCGATTTACAGATGAATTACAGATTGTGCCCTTAAGGAACAAAAAGCCTCCATACTTTTGACTCCATAAAAATGAACTTCAACTAATATGAAAAATTCAGTTCACTGAATAATGGACCATGGTGTAATGAACTTCCATGAGTGAGCCATTTGCCAAATGTATTGAGTCTGCACAGCATTTATACTGCTAAATAGGCTGTTTGGACTGTATTATGTATTCCCAGCCTTTTCAATACAACAAAATGTCTGTGTTCTTCCAGGTACATGGCGATAGTCCATCCCCTCAGGCCTCGTATGAAGTACCAAACCGCCTACTGCCTGATAACAGGAGTTTGGATTGTTCCCATTCTGATATCAGTTCCCTCTGCCTACTTTGCCTCTGAGACCATGTACCCTCAGGGCGGCACCACCCCAACCACTCACAAAGTTTTCTGTGCCCAGATCTGGCCTGTGGACCAGCAGGCCTACTACCGGTCCTACTTCTTGTTTGTTTTTGCCGTGGAGTTTGTTGGGCCTGTGATCGTCATGGCGATGTGTTACACCCAAATCTCCCGCGAGCTCTGGTTCAAGAATGTCCCAGGTTTCCAGACGGAGCAGATTAGGAAGAGGCTGCGTTGTCGCCGCAAGACAGTGATGGTCCTGATCGGGATCTTGACAGCTTACATCCTGTGCTGGGCGCCATATTACGGCTTCACCATCCTGCGAGACTTCCATCCAACACTCATCTCCCGCCAGAAGAACTCACTGGTGGCCTTCTACATCATTGAGTGCATTGCCATGAGCAACAGCATGATAAATACCTTCTGTTTTGTCAGCGTCAAGAACAACACGGTTAAGCACTTGAAGAAAATTGTACTTCTGCGCTGGAGATCGACATATGCCCCCAGTAAGACTGTGGATGAGATGGATATGAGGACCTCCTCCATGCCTGTAACAGAGGAGATCGAATGTATTCACCTGAGGTGAAGAGAAGAAAATCTGTAATCTAACAGTTGAAATTTGGACTGTTGACATACAGACACTACATAACTGAAGGAAATGATTTTGACATGGTGCATTTCTCTCATGTTTAAATCCTATTTTGGAAAGATTACAAGCATTATGAAGCAGCAGGAAAGGTCAAACCCCATATACAGTACAGTACATTGATTAAAGGGCAACATAGCTCAAATTTTCTTGGTCAGCAGTACATGTAGTATTTCTATTTGGGGTATTACTAGAATGTAATTGTTGTGCATACTGTGACTATACAGTGTATTGTGAAATGTTGAAGCATACTGCATGTATAAGATATACAGAAGACTTAAAAATAATAGCAGCTGCTGCTGTAACTGATCCATGGTGTTGGCTACCTACTGTATATGAGGTCAATGTTTGTATTGCCTGTATATGTTTAGATGAAATTGATTTTCAGAAAGGTCAAATGATGCTTGACACTAAAGTAAAAATCATTGCATTGGCCATTGCTGTTGTAATTCAATTTTTGTGTTTTCTATTCATGTTTTTTGCCTCTAAGAAATTTTTATTTATATTTTTTAGTCGAGTTGTCATTTTGTGGAATGAAGAGTATGAAGAAGGTTCCTTTGAAGAACCAGCAAGAACATATTTTGAATGTCTTAAAAATATTTTTTTCTCTTGATTATGTGTCATTGAAAGGAATCAGTACATTTTCTTGCATGTTTTATTTGTAGATTAATGCATTTCATGTGTGCTTATGGTAATAAATAATGAGTCACTGGGGGAAAAAAGGTTACTTACTTACTTACTTACTTAAGTTGTACTTCAGTTGTCCTTTTTCCTGTGCTGTATGTTAGTTGCCTGTAACATCCATGGTTACATTCATTATCAGTTGTAAAGCCTACAGCTTTGTGACCATTATCACAAACCTTGTTATGTGCAGACATAGTGAGGGGCTAAAGAACACCTGCTTCACTGGCTTTTTTTTTTCAAACATCCCCGGTTTCTTACAGATTTGTTTGTGCTCTGGGTTTCTTCTTAGAAACCAATAGAATCAAGAGTGGCTTATCTGTTAGTCCTTTTGGAAAACACTACACTAGAACAAGTGCCACAGTAAACACCCAGAAAGATTCTTTAAAACACAAGGGCTGTTTCCACCACTAGTGCTGAGTCCCTATAAATAATGTATTTATATATTTATATCTTTCCTGTGGATAAAATAGAAATGCACAATGACTATATGAAGAACTGTTGAAAAGTTTCCACCATAGCTACAGAAAAACAAATGAACAGTAAGCTACAGGTTGCGGTGTTATTCTCTCAGAATCATGCAGGGATTTGTTTATAGATGTACTTATGACATTCATCTATTTTTAATTTTAAATCCCATTGTTGAACATGTGTTAAGAACCCAGCTAGTTCATGAATTTTACATGTCCCTATGTGCCTGCCTCTGAATAAAATTGTAGCAAAACCGTTGTAACAACATTTTGGAGATACATACCTTAATTGTCACAGCCCAAAATGCATCTCACATAGTTTATATATACATGTGTTAGAATAAATCTTTTATTCTCTGGCTCTTAAATTTGAAAAATTGGTATTCATACATGATATTGGACAATTCTGCAAAACCTGTGGAAAGATCTCGGTTACACTTCATAAAAAAGCAAACTTTAATGACAGGGCTGTGAGAGGTTGCAAACACTGATTACCTGCATGAAAATCTGACTTTTAAATATGACACCTATCCACCATTCTGACCATCACATCTTTGGTTTACACCTCACTGCAAAGAGTGCACACTACTCTGCAATGGCACTGAATGTACAATATGAGGTGCACAGTTGTCCAATATGACTAATTGCTAGGAAACTGCTGAGGGAAGGGAACCGGATCATCACAGGACTAACAGGTAAAGGCAGGCCATCCTAACTTACAACACCTGACAGCATTACCACCACTGAAGCCCTGGCCTCAAATATGTTCATGGGCAGCTGAACATTGGAGGCCCTAAAGAGTTTAACATCATCTCGCAACCACGCGGTCAGGGCTCTTTCATTGTACTGTATTGTGTGTCACTTGATGTTTTGTCTTCAACTGTTGTTTGGTGACTGCTGAAGGGAATTGACATTACTGCTTCAGATTCATCATCACTATCGAGAAGAATCATCACTTTGGGGTAAAAGACTGCTGCAAAGAGTTTCTCTCCAAAACACATCGACTGTACATTTCACTGATAATCCAAGTTCTTGCGAAGCGTCTGAGCTCTTCTCTCTTATGCGGTAAGGGTTGGAACCATGTGCTTTCATGCTGGAAATGTCAGCTGACACTTTCAACTTCTCTTCATGTCATGATTCAGTAGTTTACCTTACATCTAAAGGACAGGGAACAGTTCTCTGATGACCACATGCCACACATGTTGAGACCAAAGATTGTTTTGAAAGAGGAGTGAAGACGGCCATCTGCACATTACTAACCCACTTATACTGCTTGGGGTCGTGCATTGCTTGAGTCTACAGCACACAGGGTTAAGAGGCATGATACATAATGGATAGGCCACTAATCTATCAAGAAACTCAAACAACCCAGAGGGGGAGGTGGTGACACTGCTTATTAGCAACTTTCAATGCCATCCTGCCATCCCTTAGGCAGTTAACACAGATAGTTCTCACATAACAGCCATGTGACCTTAATGACTTGACTTGGACTCACGACCAAGCCAATGAAGATTTTTTGCATAATACACACAATGATATCATCCATATGTATCTATACCCTGTCTCCAAGATATTGCCAAGAGATCTGAGAGACATGGGTGGAAATAATTTACAGCAGTCACAGTAATGTATCCTCATTTGGTTAATAACTATGCCTCAAGAGCTTTTATGTATATTTCTAGATGTTTAAGGTAGAAGATTATGAATAATAGATATATTAAAGCAGGTTCTGATTGACCGACATGTATCAACTGTGGTTGAAGCTACAAATTGATTGAACGCTGCTTCAGCCTTCATGTGATTCAGATTATATCAGAAGTCGCTCTATACTCTAAATGGATAGCTACAGCAGGCTGGCCAATTTTTGTAGCAGAGGACAAAGGTCTGTGTGACATAATTCGGATTGCGCCCAACGGCTCAACTTAAGAGCTGCCCTCGAGATTCACAGTTGTCACTAGGATACATAAGCTGTATGAAACGAAGTGGGAAAACTAGCAACAGAGTTGGAGTTCACAGTGACAGTTGTACTTACTGGTGACTGCTTGACATCATAGCTACTTTGGGGTTACAGCCCATTCTATTGATGAACAGTGGAAACTGCATTCATGGCTTTCATGGCTTTGAGCTACTATCATGCTAAGAAAGTTAGACAGTATTGAGAGATGGACTTATACACTGTAGGTCTTGGTCCTTTCATGGTATTTGTTGACAGTTACAAACTATAGAGCATTGCCAGTCTCATTCTTTAAACTGTAGCAGTGCATTATATTGTTGCAATCGGGTGTGAACCAGCAGTATAGTGGAGCACATCAGTGCCAGCAGAGGGTGGAACGTTTACTTTACTTATTTACTTCCCACCTCTTGCTGCTGGGGTGGTGAAATCAGCGGGCATTGTTTCCATTATGGAGGGAATCCTGACCAACTGAGTGCTTATAACAATTTTATATGAACTCACAGCAGTGACCTAAAAAGGCCATTCACATTCTGAATCACATACACAATTTAACAAGCTCCAAACCATTAGCCTGTAAAGTAGGCACAGTAGTAATGAGATATTGTCTGGAACACATTTACTTTGAATTGCATATGCTGACCTTCTTTCTTATCAACCTTATTGCATGATGTGTGTAACTCTTATTGTTTTACAGTAAGCTTATTCATGTGTCTCCCGATCGGGCCATTAGGTTCTTGTTTACTATATTGACAGGTTATGAAGATTGTCGCCTTTTATGCTAATTTTCTCACAGGCTGTTGTTTGATGCTGGGAAATGTTTATTTTCCCATTATCAGGGTCCTTGCTTATTGTACCCATTAGTCTCTGTGCTCTGGCCCCTGTGGGTGAAGTGTCAGTTAGCGCATGGGTGTTTTTCCCCCCATACCTCACTTTCCTGGAGAACCTGCTATTAGGTTGTACAAATAAACAACATTTTCAAACACATATATTTTCCTGCCACCGGGTAGCCTCTCATTATTAGGCTCGAGTGGGCTCTTTCCCAGTGAGACTCAAGTGTTTACACATCACTGTTCCTCCGGAAGATTATTTTTCCCACTTGCTCTGAAGCCATGTATTTTCCTATACTTCACAGACTATACTTCATATAGCCTATTTCTCCTACCTGAAAAAGGGAAATATATATATAGTGCAGAACTAAGAAGTATTATTGACATTAATTAATACAAATATTTTCAGAATAGAGAATACAGGAATGTTTAAATTTAAAAAAGGCCATTGGTTTTACACAATCCCTTCAGTTCCCCTACACCTACCTGGTTTCTTGGTTTCCGAACCAAGGGGATCATGCTATAACAGTATCCATGCAGTGCTAAGGGGTCATGGGTCAAGGGTTATGTAGTGTAGGCCTGTAGTCTGAGGTAGTCATATCCTCACATTATGTTAATATGTCAGTGTCAGCAGATGTCTAGTCACAGTTATCATCTTATTTAAATTTAAAAGAACATTGAAATATAATCATTATTATAATGTCTCGTTTAAGGTCATCAAACAGATCTGACAATATTTCATTAGTTACTCCCTCAGTTACTATGGTAGATTAGCACCCCCTAGTGGCGTACTGTGGCGAGTGAAGTGAGTGTGGGAGTGGCACGTTTTTATTCATGTTGGAGAGAAACAGAGACCAACACAGGGCAGCCGATAGCTCCTATGCAGGAAAGTTGATAAAAGACGGTTATCACTTGGAAAAAGTGGAAAGAGTAACAAGGGAATCGACATAAAAGAGAGATCAGAGTGTGTCGCAACAGCTACGGCGCTGCCGACTCAAGTGGCATTTA